TCTCGCTTCGTCCGCCATTACTAGCAAAAAAAAATCTCCAGTCGGGCCGCAATGCATTATGGGATATGCTGGGCCGGGAAGGATCCATCAGACATGTCCTTCAAATCAAGGAAAAAGAAGAACGTATTTGTCGGACGCATCGGAGGAGTCTTCGGTTTTGGACGGCCTTCGTCGCGGCACTGTGACGTATGCAGCGACAAATTCGGCCTTCGGAGGACCCGGCCTGTTGTTTTGGACACAGCCAACGTCTCCATATTAAAATCGCGCATTAAATCTAACTGTGCACGTCACTGAAGAGGTGTTTACTACATTCAGCGATGGTGAAAACGGGATGTTTTTTTAAAGTCAGTCAATATAAGCAGTGAAATCGCCTCCTGCCTCTGAAGCTGTTCAACAATAACATTAGCATGCTAACGCACATAGCGGTACTGCGAGAAAAACTGTCCCCTGGGAAACAGCTCATTGGCGGCCGCGACGAAACGTTTCGCACATGTTCAGGCTATTTAAACTGTTATGTCCAGTATTCAGAAAATTCATATCATAAAAATAAAAACCAGTATTCGGTACAAAATGGTATACCGCCCAGCACTAGAGTTCGGAGATTCCTGCTGTCAGAGATCCAGAAAAGAAAATCTGTTATTTTTAGCAGCGTCAGCTGTGGAATTAAAGGAGCTGCTTAAAGGAATGAAGTGACTGTTGTTAATGTCGTGTCTCCTGTGGGTCGTCACAGTCACAGAAATAAAAATCTAAATCATATTCATCTCTCTCTACTCCTGCTCCCCCTTTCTTTTGGTCACGTAATTTTAATTTAAGTGTAAACAACTGTGTTACATAGTTTTTGTCTATTCTGAAGAAGAGCAGTCGCACAACGCCACCTCGACCCAGCTGTCGCAAGTGTCGGATGTGGTTCTGAAAAAAAGCATTTTAAAATGTCTCCAAACCGCAGTTAACTTCATATTACTATTGTACTGTTATACAACAGCATTGATAGCCAATTTAATTTAATTTAACCARTTTATGTCATCAGTCTACATTACATTTAAAATTATAATTCCAGTTCAAACAGAATAACCTATTGTCAACATAATTATTGAGTGTGATTTATTTTCAACTCGAAATATCTTCAAACAAATGAAATAGAAAGTTATTAATGATAAAAAAAAAACAACATCTGGATAACAGCAGACTAAATTATATGACAGGTCTGGACCACACGTGAATTTTGTTCATTCCTGAAGAAAATCTTAGAATACGAGAAAATTGGTGAATGTCACAAATTCTCTTAAATCACTCGTACGCACAACTTAAGAACAAATCTGTGCGTACGAACGGTTCTTGCATGAGGCCCAATGTCTGTAAATTACATGGACCACCACCACCACCACCAGTTTGCAGGTACAGACGTACAGAGAAATCTCTCATATTAAATAACCACTTCCTGACACAAAATCAATGCTTTTCTTGAATTGAGACTCTGCCCTCAGCTGTTCCTTTCAGCGAGGAGGATGAGGAGCTGGGCAGTGTCGTGCCCCACCAGTACACCCCAACGTATGCCATGTGAGAGTACTACAGGTTTTTGAAGGTCAGTGTATAGATTACCATCTGAAATGGTTCACATGTTTGCTTTATGGAGTTCAGTTTCAGTGAAACTGTGACTCATTTCTAAGTCAAGGTTTAGCAGCTTATCCAGGAAAAAAWTTTTTTAACCCCGAACGATTTGACTTATTTATTATTCAAATTGAATTATGTTTAAGTTTTGTGTCGAGTTTCTTAAAGTGATGTTCAAAAGTCTTGAGTCAGTTTAAATTTTGTTTCCAGTCGAACTTTTATGCAATCTTTTAATCTGAATCGATGTTTTTCCAGGCATTTCTGAAGATCTTCCAGAGGTTTTCTTTGGACTTCGTCTACTTTTTCATTCATTCTCTGTCCAGTATCCAACCATTTTCAGGGAA